ATTAATTTGGAAATTTATTAATACAAAATTTCTAATGCATAAAGGGTATTTCTTAAAATGGAAACTTTTTTTGCAAGATTAGGTGATACTGCATGATACAGTCAATAGGCTACATCTTTTAAAACGGAGACAGAACAGAATGGCACTTGGTGAATTCCTCCTTTAGACGGAGCACAAATATGACAGGCTGAATGACTTTTAGAATCATAGAATCTGTACAGTGTTGAAAAAGGTCATTCAGTACATCAGGTCCATACTGACGCTCTGAAGATAATCCCAACCAGACCCACCCCATTCCTATCCCTGTAACTCTGCATTTCCCACGACTGATCCACATAGCCTGCACATCCCTGGACTGTGGGAGGAAACATGGAGGAAACCCACACAGACACAGGGAGAATGTGCAAACTCCACACAGACAATTGCTTCAGCTTAGAATTGAACCCAGGTCCCTGATGCTGAGGCAGCAGTGCTAACCACTGAGCCACTGTGCTGCCCATTAACGATCCTCCAAGTGAAGTAATGGAGTAATCACCCATTTTGCAGAAACAATGCCCTTAGTAAAGGGCATCCAAGAGAAAATTTACAGACCACACAAGATCGAGAACAGAATCAAGATCAACAGTCCTCAAGTAAAAGAGCGACCAATCATCCAAGTCCAAAGAGAAAGAATTGTGAAACTTCCAAACAACCTAAATTTATGAAGTTAGAGACTTGAGGGAAAATGAGGTAATGAATGTACAAATGTTAACTATGGAATAAAAGCCTTTTTTGGGGAGAAGAAGAGAAGATGACATACAAGAGAATGGTTTTGACAGGGTTAATACTGGAGACTGCATTTATCTCTACCCAATCCAATGTCATACGGACTTGGCAGGGAAAACGTCAGTACAGGTTAGTAGTGTGAAGACCTAGATCCACAGTCTCAGAGTATGAATAATAATGCCTAATTCCCTTGGACCTGATTACTATCATGCAACAAACTATATTTTGTTTACATCAAGAACTTCTTCTCATTAATACTCAGTAGAGGTTTCCCTCCACCATTATAAACCCAGTTGGCCCTGAAACGCAGTCAAGGAAAAAGGACGGTGGCAGCAAACTCCAGCAAACACAAGCTGGGAGTGTTGGCATGAAGTGCACAGGAAGCACCTTTACATTAGCACCTTTGTATTCAAACAGATTTAAAGGATCAGCAATGCAAAACAAATTTCCTTTGCACTACAAAAACAAAATTAAAGGGTATATTGCACCATAAATCAAAATTACATATCAGTTGTACATTTTCATCATGCTACTCATTTATGAAAATACAGCATATTTGGTTTTAACCAGCATCTTATGAACCAGCACTATTGATAAACCAGCAAAAATTATCATCCTGAAATACCAAAAGTTTCAGAGATAGTAGGAACTGCAGATGCTGGAGAATCTGAGATAACAAGGTGTAGAGCTGGATGAACACAGCAGGCCAAGCAGCA